GATCATCCGAGGCGGTCTTTAGCGGGAAAACAGAAGGCCATGACACAGATTCTTGTATTAGACGGAAGAAAAATGTTTTTCTATTCAAAGATTGCAAAGCCCTTAAGACTGTTTTCAGGGAAATGGCCTGCTGTGTTGGTCATCTCATTTGGAGAGTCTTCCCCTTGAGACTGAGCCGTAACCACAAACTGTTATTACACGCACATTATAAAAGCCATTCCTAATGGCAGCTCCTCGCCCCTTCAGAGCTAGCTGAGTCTTTCCACTGAAATCCTAGGTGGGTTTCTGGAATCCCTATCGAATAGAGGTAAAGGCCAAACCTACCCTATGAGGGTAAACTCACCCTGAGCAATACACCCTCTGCCCTTTTATTCTGGGACCTGGAGTTTCTTTGTTTAGCACATCCCGACTTCCTCTGCTGTGCACCACGTCAGCCATCACAGCAATCTGACAGCAGTGTGTTTAGCAGCACTACGCTCCCCGATATTTTATGCCTGTAAGGTGTGTGTGGAGAAGCTGTCCCGCTGGGTTTCAGCTTTGAGGCCAGTGGGAAGGCAGAGGCCTCAAAGGACAGTGACGCTCAGGAGTCTTGCACGGGATTTCAGCAAAGCCCAAGAGACCCGTGGTAGGTTGTGTTGTGCCACCAAAGCACTGAGTTTCCTGTTGCCAAGTTCAGCGTTGGCAGCCCTTTTCCCAGCAGGGGAAGGCAGGCCTCGAGGCTTTAGGAGGGAGCCGCACAAACAACGGAATAACCATCCTTCACTGTCTCCCTTTAGTGACAAATCTGCATGTTTCAGACTCTAGTCGCGAGAGGTCTTTGCTCCTCCCCTCCCTTCGATCAGGCCTTAACCTGTCTCTCCAAAGTCTTGTAAGCCCTGTCGCACACTTACTTCTCCTTGTGCATCTCCCAGCAAGCTCAGGTGCTAGGACTGCACAGGTATGGATCTCAGGACGCAAGGATCTCAGGATATCCGGTGGTCCCCACACTCGGCCACATGGTATTTCACAGCTCCAGCTCTGTTGGGGTTCCTGGAATCAAAATTGTAATAGTCGGACAGCATTTTGGATCTCTGAGGTTTGTTTGCACAGTGCTCCGTGCATTGCTGTAGATGTCGCCATAAGTGGTCTCAGCATTCAGTGAGCTTGGTGTCTAGCGGTGATGGGGGTGAAGGAAGGGTGAATGGTTCCAGCATGTGTGGGGGCGAAGGAAGCACTGGGGTGTCCCTGGGACATTGGACAGGGGCTGTTGGAGACAATGTCTCAAAGGAAGATGACACCTGAGCCAAGTGGCTGAAGAATAGGCAGGGTGTTGCCATTTGAATGCGGGGTGATGGAGTGCCTGGTGAATTGTGTTTCAGGCACCAGGAACACAGGCTTAAAGACTTGGTCTCTGAAGGAGCAGTCTACTTCTGGAACTTGCCTTCTCTTTAGTTCATCATTAGGGCATTCCCGAAGGAGGTGCCTCAGAGAGGAAATATATTGCAGCCACATTTAAGAAGCACTTAACAGAAAAGATGGGCATAAAGTGGGGTTTTTTGTAAAGCAACACCTGAAGAGCATGCTGTGCTCCCTGCAATGAATGAAATGTTGTCCAGGGCAGACATCATCCTGTTGTGATAAAGAGAGCTTGCTATTTGGGATTAAGTTTATTGTGATAGCATGAAGCGTATTGTAATGATAACAAGGGAATTTATTATCATTGAGGCAGAGTCTTTTACTGAAGAATTTAGGGCCCAGACTTCATGCAGATACCTAAGGAATCAAGTTGAGCTCACCATGAAGCAAATAAGAGAAAGTACTAAGGCCCTGAGGCATTTAAACATAAGAGGGTGAATTTTTAGGCCTGGCATGAGGCCTGTCGGTGAGGAAGGGAGGGAAAGAGAAGAAGCTGGAGGCGCAGACAGAGGGAAGAGATTCGGCTCCTCACCAAGGTCATGATGGAGTTAGCAGACCTGGGCGTGTTGAAATCGGGAGCCCTGGGCAATTGTAACACCGCACTTTACACCCATTCCTCCGCCTCCTCAGACAGTTCTTTGTGGGGGAAGAAGCGCAATGATAAGGATGAGCAAGAACCCACCAACCCTAGGTACTTGCATGTTGCTTCGGCCCCTCCTAGGGCACTGAGCTGCCCCAACAGCTCATTGCTTTCCTGCGGTGGCCACATCAGGAAGACAAGGCAGTTGAAGAGAAAACTGCAGCGCAAGGAATCTAAGGGGCCCAGTGGTTATGAAATGGCAGAGTTAAGAAAGATTGGGTCTTTGGACTTAGAATATATAGTGTTCTTTGCTACTACATTACGCTGTGCCTTTTTTTAAGGATTTATTTGTAAATGCTAGAACTTCAACAAGTGTCCCCCACTCGTGACTCATTAATCCGTGCAGCTGCCCGGCCATAGAGCAGGGCTCAGCCTGGCGTGGTTGGAACAGAGCGCCAGAGCGGGAGCGGGTCCTGCTCTGGCTTCATGGCTAACCTGTTGTTGAATATTGAAGTTGCAACATTCTGTAGTCTTTCTGCATTTCATTTTCTTTTTTTCCTTCGTCTCTGTATGTCTCGGAGCCAAACGTGAGGGGAATCATCTGGCTATGTTGTTCTCACTGCAGGATGGCATTTGGTGCTGTTTTTGTAGGCCCGCCATGTGGTCTGCCTGACGATGTGTTGTAGTTTCATTAGTTTTGTGGGTCTCAGGAGTTGTGTTTAGGCCAACTTTATATAGGCACTTAAGAGCTGGTAGATTGTAGATACGTTCAATACAAGGTGTAAAACGGTCATCGCTAACGTTTATTGAGTGCTTGCTAAGTGCTGGACACTTGCATCTGTCTCGTCGAACATCACAAGAACCCCGTGCCAGTGGGGCAGCTCCAGAGCCTTCCACAGCTAGTGTGGAGCAGAGTCAGGCTTTGCCTGTAGGTCCTCTGGCTCCAACCTGCACTCTGAACCGCAAGGCTATACTGTTTACATGGAAAATGGTCTATAAAGGTCTCTGTTGGTGGGGCATAGTCAATTCTGTCAATTTAAATTCATGATTCCTCCAAAACCAAAGTTGTTGTTTATTAACATCCAAGTGGCTGCTTTCACACTAGATGTAGATCTAGCTCAAATAATGAGAACAAAAGTAAGAGATCCCTGCAGAGAATGTCCTTCAGAGGCTTCGCATGTTGTTCACTTTGTTTGCAGACAGAACGGGAATTTATTGCGACATGCCTTATTTCAGTTACATTAAATGTAAGGAGACCTGGCAACTGTAGAAATTCAAATAGTCATCATTAATTTCAGCTCCTTAATTGAGCTTCTATGACACATGCACACTTCCTCTGAAATCTGGAAAGAAAAATAGATAATTAAAAATGAAGTGAAAATGAGGTTTTATTTCTACAGCTATAAATTTTCTTAAGCTTAAGATCCAGAGGCATATAACTTGCTATTAAAGGTATAATGTCTAACCACTTAATATGTATTTAGCACTAATTTTGACTAAATTAAAGTAATAGAGTTTGTCTTTTTTTTGAAATCCATCCAAGATTCCCAGTAGACTTCCCTTTTCCATCTCATTCATTCATTCGGAAAATACTACATTCCTCTTGTGCCATGCCCTGGGTTTAGTACATGAAAACCTTTTAATTAGTGGTGTGCTGGTGAGTTGGTTGGTTATCACGAGTAGTAATATCCTCTTAGTTAAGGCCAGTGATCCAAAAGCCCTTGCTTCTAGACGAGGTATACTTGGTCGGAGTAGCTTTGATGGCGATATGAACCAGGTGGCAGGTGCATGTGGTAGCAGGTGAACGTTCAGATGGCTCAAGATGATGGCGTCACGTGTGATGCGTTTAGACCCCAAACGGAAGCAATTGAAGTATTTTGCCATCGTTAGGAGATCTAGAATGTGGTCAATTAGCTAGCAGCCTCAAGGGAAATATTAATTTGGGCTCCTGGTGCTTGATACTTAGAAAGGAGCTCAATGTCATCAGGAGAAAATGATCTGAAGATCAGATCCTCAGGGCTCACATCTCCTCTGCACCTCGGGGGTGGGACTTGGGAGCGGGGGGGGGGGGGGTTAATGGCTCAAAGCCCGCTTTCCACACTGAATCTCCCTTATATTTTATGTTTGAAGAAAGGGTACTGAGGCTAAAGGAAATTTGGAAAACATTTAGGCCAGCAAACAATATGAGGCTCAAATTCCAGGAAAAGCAAATAGCTGTATAAGAACGTGGCTGTAATCTCAGTTTACTACACTTCCTGGCCCAGCGATGAACAGCTGACGTGGTCACTTCGTCAGTACGGTAGAAACTCTGACTGTAGAGTTAGGGACACGTCGTGGCAGCCCCGCGGGGGCCCTGGAGGTGCTGGCGGTGGGTTGTGCGGGAATTAGGTCTTCATGGGCCCCAGTAAGAAGTTAGTAGATAATATCTACAGCTGACGAACCAAGAAAAATTTGCATGGATGGCCAACATATTTTAAGAGACAGGTAAAAAGAAAATGTATTGACGTATAAAAGAAAATGCTAAGAAAAATTAAAATCGATCCCTATTGAGAGCAGGTCTGAGGGTACTGAAAGGAGGTAAGGACTGCTGTGTTCTACAGGTGTATTAATTTCTTAACAAATAAATTTTTTAGGGGATATTATATGTTTGTATTTCGTGTATGCTTCTTACCTCCCTTTGGTAAATAATAGCTCATGTGTGTCAAGGAGCCCATTCCCTGGAAGAGAAAAATGAGCACAATACAAAAAGTGAAATTTCTCACGGGATGAGAGGTCAAGTTTATGGCAGGGTGTTTCCCAGGTCCATCAGTTGAGCCTTTGCTGTTCATTTGGCGTTCTCCCTAAATCATTTCGGGGACAGAAGCCAGCTCCAGAGAAAGTAAAAGCCTGAGCATGCAAAGGTTCTGAACCAGCCTAGACTCAGGAGATAGCTTCTCTGATAGTTCCTGTTTGACCTGTGGTTATATCAATTCTAAAAAAAAATTGGTCCCTAACCTCTCTTTTTGATGTTTCTTTTTTAAAACAGGGAAATGCACATAAAATCATGGAGAAATGTACATTGCCATTAACTGGAAAACAATGTGTCAACCGCATCATTACTGAAAAGGTAAAATGCCTTTCCCTTTTTATTTCCTCTAACGTCTGTCACCACCTTTTTTATTTATGAGCATTTTTAGAACTTTTTGTGTTACCTTTTGAAAGTGTATTATATTGGCAGTCGTAGGATTAGTGTAATAGTATAATCCGTGGGTACACTGAATAGGAAAATTCATCAATTTAATGTTTCAAAATGTAGAATTCTTAATATGCAATTCTCTGGACATATACATAGACACACAGAATTGAAATAGTATCCTTGATCTTTCTGACAGTGTGATATAGTCAAAGTTTTAATGATCATTATGCTTGGACTGTTAAGAGAGATGATATATACAAAGTCAAGCATACATTTACTATTTCTACCTTTCTTCTTTGCTTTCCCACATGTACCAATTGTTGGATTTTATTTTAGGAAACTCAGAAAAAGTTAGGTTTTACTCATTTGGGTGCAAATTTGCAGTCCAGAGCCCACAACGAACCAGGGGCTCTCGTTGTGGCTCCTGCCTGTCTCCAGCCTTCTTGCATGGAGTGGACTTCAGTCCCTCTCCACGTGTATTTCTTCTCAGACAGAGGCATGGCCATCGGCGCAGCGGGAAGCTGCTCCGATGGGAGAGAGGCCTCGGGGCAGCCGTCGGCCACCTCCTTTCCGGCCCAGAGCTGAAACGAGGGTGTGGGAGGGACGTAGTTCTCAGTGAGTGAGGAGGGTGTCGGCTTCTTGATTCAGCATCTTCCATACAGAATTTTCTGCATCAGGCTTTGTTGGCTGGTTAGTTTTTCTGTTAACGATGCTGCTCCTTTGCCGAGAGCCCAGCAGGAATGTCTTTGCATTAATCTGGTCGCTCCCCCTCATGGAGGTGGCAACCAGCTCCCCGAAGCAGCTCTCGGAAGTTGTCTAGGAGGGTCATCGTACTCTGCAGAAGCCACGTTCAGAGGGCTGTTCTGTTCTAAATGGTGCCTTTCCCTAGGAAGGTCTATGGGGAATTCCACAAAGATGACTCAGCGAGGAGAGCGAGTAGCTAAAAGGGACAAATGTGTGATCTCAGGATTGAGTCCTCGAATCTTGATGGGGAGGCAGACTCTGTCCGGCAGAGCTGCTCTGGGTCCTCACGGATGGGGAAATAAAAATAAGCCATTCCAGACACTTTCTCTGTCTGCCAGGGAAAGGGGGTGGTAGTTCCCTCTCGCGGAGAAGGCCCCGAGCCCCTGTGCACAATGGCTTTTATTGAAAGGATTATCAGTGGAGGCTGGGTAGTAGGAATGTACTGGTAATCTTATTATGTCAGTATGTTAATGTTTACAGAAAATAGGTGATGGTTTGAAGAAAACACATGGCAGGAACACACCGATTTACAGGGGGCCGAGACGAGTAAGCGTAAGAACGCAGAAGGGTTTAGGGTCAGGGTCTGTGAGTAATGTTAATCTCCTTCCCAGCCTGAGCTGGTTATCATAGCTTTGAGGGAAAAACAAAGCGTGCTTCAAGGCATTTGCTTCTAGGCCTGATTCCCCGCCCCCCCCCCCCCCCCAACCACCTGGTCCAGCCCAGGGCTGCCTCTGGTATTGTTTCAAGCCTGAGCCAGGAAGGCGGAGCAGAGCAGCCAAGAGATAGGAGCCTTCTATCAGATAGAATGGGGACTCCGGCCATGACAAAGCCGAGGGCTGAGGGTCTTTTGCCCTCTCTCCGTGTCCCCCAAGTCCTTTCCTGATGGCCCCTGTGCGACTGTGCCTGTCTTAGGTTGCCTCTGTCATTGACTAACCAGCCATCCTTGGGGGCCAAGCAGGGTAATGTGAGGGGACAGGTTTTGTCTCCTCAGTGGCCTATTTTCCCAAAGCCTCCTTGCTTAGCTCCAGCCTTGGGGCCCTCTCGCCTGTCGACAAGGCTACAGTTTCTGAAACCAGGCAGGATGGTTCCCAACAGACTCTTACCATTTCTGGTACCCCCTCCAAAATTGTGGGCAGGACTTGCTCAAAGGAACCCATTACCATTGACCCTCAAACAGCATGGGTTTGAACTGTGGATCCATTTCTATGCAGACTTTTTTCAATAAATACTGTAAGTGTATTTTCTCTTCCTTGTGATTTTCTTAACCTTTTTCTCTAGCTTACTTTAGTGTAAGTATACAATATATGATACATATACCATACAAAATATGTGTTAATCAACTATTCATGCTGTCGGTAAGTTTCTGGTCAACAATAGGCTATTAGCTAACTTTCGGGGAGTCAGAAGTTACATGCGCATCTTTGGCTGTGCGGAGGTCAGTGCCTCCAACTCAGTGTTGTTCAAGGGCACTTTGAAAATAAAGGCAAAGCTGTCCTTGATCCTGCTCCTTTAATAACATAACCCAGTAGAGCTTTATGGAGAATGGCCACGCAGTCACCCCCGGCTTCCTCTCCTCCCAGGGGGCCCTCTCCTCCCAGTCCCTGTGCGCCCTGCCCTCGCTCTCCTCCGGTCGGCACTCCCGCCTGCAGCACCTCCCGCTGGGCTCCACCCCCGCCCCCGCCCCCGGCCTCCCCTCCTTTAAGCCCAGTGCAGTTTCTGTCTTGACCTTGAAGTCGTTTCTGACCAGCTCAGCTCTCGTTTCATCCCCAGAGTGATCACCATTCATTTTGGCACTTAGTCTAATACCTACGTTTTCTTATGACATAACTTATATTGTAATTTCACTTTCATGCCATTGAAACAACTTTTATACCCTCTTTCTCCACCCACACTGTTGTTTTTCTTTGTTCCTTCATTACTGAACATTTCGTGAGAACCTTCTCTGAGCTGGGCGGCCCCCAACCCTGGCTACGGAGAGGCGAGGACGGTCCCGCCCCCGAGGAGCGCGTTCGGGAGGGGCGGGCAGTGAGCGCCCGGCAGCAGCAGTGAGAGGGACAAACACGATAAAGGCCGTGGGAACCATGGAGCTGACGCTGAACGAGGAGCCGGAGCGTGGGGGGAGGCGGCCTCACAGCCCGGGGTGCGTGCCAGAGACCCTGGGCGCTATCAGGGGGGCTTTCCCCGTGCCTTGCGAGGCATTTTACAGCAGGTGCCCTCTCTCCCCGAGGTGTAGCGTCTCACTGCCTGCCGTCCCGTGGTCCCCGCTTCCTCCGCACGGACTGCCGCGCACTGAGTCGCTTTCCCCCCCACCACGTTCACCTTTGTGCACCCTGTCCCTCCCCTCGGCACGCTCTCCCCACCCCGTCCATCTGCTTAGCTGTTGCTCATCGTGACGTCTCGGCTATAAATTGCTTTCTCTGGCAAGCCTTCCCTGCCCGCTGCCCCAAGTCTTCTGGGGGCTTGGCCGAATCCCAGGACTCGCTGTAACTTAGCACTGACCCCTGTATGGCAGTGACCTCGGAGCTCTGCACAGGACTCATCTGTGTTTATTCAACACTCAGCATGGCGCTTGCCCAGACTCAGCCAGAGCTCGCTGAATAAATGGGCTGTGCTTCTCCTGAGGAGAAAACTGTGTAGATTGAGTGATGAGTCTCACAAGATAAGTAGGAGTTTTATAAGTGAGAATAAGACCAAAGAAGCTCTTCCAGGCAAAGGGAGGAAAAAAGAGGCAGAGCCATGGAGGTGTTAAGAAAACACGGTCCCCGTGAGGACACGCGAGTGGGACAGAGCGGAGGGAAGGCATGGCCAGATCCGGAAGGCTGATGCTGAAAAGACTTCAAAAGACGCCCAGCTAGGAGGGGATGTGAATGCCTTGCTAAGAAATTTGGGTTGTATCTGGAAGGCAGTTGGGAGCCCCTCAGTGATCTCAGTGGCTGGGGACACAGTTGATTAGGTCTGCGTTTTAGGAAGAGCCCTGTGGCTTTCATGTAGAATAAGGAGAAGGGACGAGGAAGAACCCAGTTACAAGCCCCTTCTGCGGTCAGGGACAGGAGCGTCAAGGTCCTAAACCACGGAAGAGAAGCAGCTTTGAAAGAGATGCACAGCGAATCTAACTCGGTGAGGAACGGGGCGTGGGTGTGAGAGCAGAGGTGGTTTCTGCGTGTTCTGGCTGGAGGCAGGGCGGTGTGTCTCCAGGGAAGCTGGGACTGTAGGAGGAGGAGGGTAGAACCCCGCGGCGCAGGAGAAGATTAGGCTCAGTTTGGACATTCTCGAGGGGACATTCCTGAAAAACTTCACATCCTGCACATCCGGGCAGATGTTTCTGGCCAACAGTTGTAGATGTGCATTTAGAGCTCATAAGAGAAATCGCTATTGGAACAAACATAGGGATGTCATTAGCATGTGAGGATAAGCGGAACCTTAACTACAGATGACATTGTAGAGCAGAGTGAACACAGTGAAAGGCAGCGCGGCGTGGAGCATTGGGAACCTCAGAAAGCAGGGCGCGCGTTGCCGCTGCGCTCTGTGCGCTGCAGGGGTAAGTGACAGCTCACCTCCACGAAGACGGCGAACGGGCACAGCAGGTGTGGGGCTAGATGGCCACGTTCAGCTCTCGAGGAGCGTTGCGCTCGCTGCCCTTTGAAAGAGGCTTTGCGGATGTTGTGATTCTGATCTCCGTGTGTCCTGTCGCTAGGCTGGCGTAAGGAAAGGGGCCTTCTCCACCAGCACCCAGGCCTGGCTGACCGCTTTATCGCCTTTTATGGTGGTAGTAAAATAATGTGTTGATGTGCAAAATAAATAGAGCCGTTGCAATATTACCCTTGGCAGCTGAACGATTGACTGTATAGCTTTTACGTTTTAGTTTCCATTTTAATCAAGGTTTTGCTCCCACTTTATACCGCTAGATAAGACTCTTCCTAAGTATTTCAAAAGTAAATTCTCCTCTTTTTCAAAACAGATGCTTGGCTTTCTAATACATGACCTTGAGAACTTATTAGGGTTTTATAATAAAATGTCTGTTAAAAGAAGTGGCCAATTTACCATGAAGTTTCCTCTCTCATCACAGAAACCATACATTCATCTACCACAGTGGTCTTCTCCCCGAATCTCTTCCCTGCCTGTTCCAAATAACACGATCTAGAGGCTTTATTTCTCTGATTTGTTCCATTTTAATAAATTTACAGTTGCTCATAATACAGAGAAAAAGCATGTCAGTTATGAACAGTGGTCCAAACCCTTTCCTGCAAAGAAAAGGTATCCATTTAAAAAAATTTTAATTGTCAACTTGTAATTAAATAAACCTAATGCATTCCTAAGTGACCATTTTTTTCCCTTCTCAAAATAAATGTTTCTGCTGATAAAAAGTTTTTTTTAGAAACATAAAAATGTGTAAACAGAGAGCAAGTTTGTGGAAATATTTGCTCCTAATTTGAACCATCTTTTCCAGCAAAATCAACTAGGTTATTTGTGAATTCATCAAATAGAGAATGTGAATGTGTCACTGGGGAGAAATATTAACTAACTAGAGACAAATAAGCATTTGGGGGCTTTGACTGGGGCTCTCACACAGGTGACAGTAAGTGAGACTATTAAGAAGAAAGAACATTCCTGTAAGGGGCCCTGCTCTGCCTCAGGAGGACGCCAGGTGCACAGAATGTGATTGTCCTCATTAAATCTGTCCTGGATAATGACCTCGGGAAGCAGAGGGTTTGGGGGGGTTGTTTTTTGGTTTGGTTTTGTTTTTTGGAGTTTTTCTCTTAAATCCACCTTCAGATGCGAAGATAGCTTCACCAGAGATTGCAAAGCTCTAAGCCAGGGTTCTTCCCTCAGTATGTCATGTGTTCCGCTTAGCCTCCTCTCCAGGGGCGTGTTTAAAAACAACAGTTCAGGGTTTGACTTCCAAGCTAGAAGAAATAGAGATACAAAGCCTCAGCTAGTATTGTAGCTGAATGTAAGGTCAGTCCACGAGGAGAGGAACGATCCAGGCAGCCTAATACTTGCCTCTGAGGAGGAGGAAAGTAACCCTGAAAACCGAGAAAGGAAATGCCTGTTAAACAGAGGGCGGGGCAGGGAAACAGCACGTTGGGACTGCAGGCGAGCTGTCTGGGCTCTGGCGCCTGGAGCTGCCCATCAGCAGGCAGTCTGCCTCGGGACAGTTGAGCCTCCTGCCTCTGGACTGTCTAAGCAGAGCCCCAGTGACTATTTCAGAAGAAAGTTTTGAAGGCTTATTAGATGGGAAATTACATTAACTGACTTTGTGGCTCTCTTCTACTCCAGTCAGTCATATACCTGAGTGAGACAGCCTGTGTTCCAAACCAGACACAGCAGGTGGAGTCTACCTGCAGAGGTCAAGGGGGACCAGCTGGCACTCCTGTCACCTTGTGTTACTACCCAGTGTGTTGTGAGGGAATATGTGCGTGGGGGTGGGGGGCGGTGAGTTAGCCTTCTCTCGCCCTGAACAGAAGCACCTTCACTGATTTGCATTCTAGAGGGGAGTCCTCTTGCTCAGACCTCAGTGTTTTCACAGGAGTCGGCGGAAAGCTTTCGTATTAGTGTCCCGTATTAGTGTCCCCGGGGGAGGGCTCTCTCAGGGCGGGACAGCTCCTTAATTGGAGCCGCTCCGAGCGCCTTGCTTTTGTTCCCTGGAACTCTTTCCCCAGGCCACGGTGACCCTTTTTCCGTCTCCCTTCTGTTTTCACCTTCTAAATGTCTCCTCCTTCCTCACTTCCCTTTATCCTTTCCTTCTTTCAAATCATTATCACTCATTGAATTGAAATTTCAATCAGAACAATTAGACCTAACCAAGGTAAAGCCAGTTTAAAGGAAAGGGCTTAGCCCTGACCCTGGTGGCTCAGGTGGCTCAGTTGGAGGATCGTCCCACCGGTTCCCTTCCTGGGTGGGGCACGTGCCTGGGTTGTGGGTGTGGTCCCTGGTTGAGGTGTGTACAAGAGGCAACCAATCAATGTTTTTCTTACACATTGATATTTCCCTCCCTTCCCCTCTTTCTAAAAACAAAATCTTAACAAAAAAAAATAAAAAAACCCACTGGTTATGACAGCAGCAAGTGCCATACACAGCCGCCACTCGTCACGTTCTGGCATCAACACTGCTCCCCGGCCAACTGCCAATGAAGAAGCTGGCATTTGTTTCACACCCCCATGGAATACATACGGTTGACATTTTTTCATGGCTGATTTTTGGGATGTTTTATCCTGGGGCTTGTCTCTCCTTTAAGAACTTGAGAGCTTTTTTCTGTTTTGTGCTACAAAATAATGACTGTGATAGCAATTTAGCAGTTGTCATTGTCATGTTCTTGACTCCGACAGGCCGTGTTTGACGTGGACAACAAGAAAGGGCTGACTCTGATCGAACTCTGGGAAGGCCTGACGGTGGATGACATAAAAAAGAGCACTGGGTGTGACTTTGCGGTAAGCGCCTCCGAACAAATCGGGCCACTGGTCCTGTGTCGGTAGCTTGGTGAAAGGGTGTTTACAGGACACGAACCCTTCATTTGGGATCATTTTTGGAGCTGACCTCTGCAGAGAGCAGCAGTGGAGGGGCAGGCCCTCCAGATGAAAGCAGGTGGGGGCAGGAGCAGGCGCTGGCTCAGGGGCCAGGGTCCGGCTCAGGGGCCAGGAGCAGGAGGGGGAGGAACCACAGGAGCGGCTGGAGACAGAAGGTCGAGTGAGCAGGAGCTCGAGCTGCTCTCTGTCAAGTCCCTTACACTTCTCTGTTCATGGGTTATACATCAGCCATAGCTAAAGTTGATTAACTAAAAAATGTGAGCTGCACACAGAGAGTTGATACGTCCTTGTTTTTAAACCCACCTGTGGCTTATGAATTTCTCTTTGATTACCTTCTGTGCCTAATTGTTCCATCTGTTGAAGTTATTGGAATGTTGGGCTTCTGACTTCGCCATGTCATGAAATAGGTGCAGCCTACAGCTGAAGGAAAGCTTAGTGCATAAAAACTCTGACTTACAGAAGTATATAACTGCATCCACTTAATAAATCTTCAAATCCCTTTTTAAAACAAAGAAGATAATACTGTCTTATGTAGGGTCCAACAGAAGTAACACTGGCTTGAATGTGAATGGTAGGATAATGATATAGATGCAATAGTTTATAGTTTTAATTTGAACCCTTCTTTAGTGTGATATTGTTATGGTACAGAATTACATGCTTATGATTTTTGTAATTAAAAAAAGGCATTATTTGTGCCAGACTCTGTGTAATTGCCCTTTAGTATAAGTGCTTATCCATAAACCACCGATCACCTACCTACTGGGGCTTGAGAGGATGGCTCAGTCCATTTGAAGTTAATTAAAAGTAAAGGTGAAATGTCTCTGAAAAGTCTGGATTTCCGGCCAAGATGGAGACATAGGTAGATACACTTTGTCTCCTCGCGCAACCTAAAGAAGGACAGCCACCAGTTTAAAAATTAAAAAACCACCAGAACTTCCAGAAAATTGAACTGTACGGCAGTCCGACAGCCAGGGAATGGAAGAGGAAACTTCCGGCCAGACTGGTAGGAGGGATGGAGACAAGCAGCCCGGGCAGAGAGGGTGTGCAGCGACATGGCGGCTGGCGGACTGGGAGGTCAAACTGGGGGGAACAGCTGGGGAGTGAGACGGGCAGCGCCACGCAGGGTTCCAGCAGAGGAAAAGAAAGCCTCAAAACCTCGGGTTGTCAAAATCTTTGGGTGTTGCCGCAGCAGGAAAAACTCCCAGCCTCACAGGAGAGTCTGTTGGAGAGACCCATGGGGTCCTAGAACGTTCACAAACCCGCCACCCAAGAATCAGCACCAGAAAGGCCCAATTTGCTTGTGGGTAGTGGAGGAAGTGAGTGAAAGCCGGGGAGAGCAGAGAAAGCAGCACCGTTCCCTCTCGCACCCCTCCCCCACACACAGCGTCACAGTGCAGCGACCTGGGTTGCCCCACCTGGCAATACCGAAGGCTCTGCCCCTTACGATGTAACAGGCTCGCCAAGACAAAGAAACATGGCCCAAATGAAAGAACAAATCAAAGCTCCAAAAATAGAACTAAGTGATGAAGAGATAGCCAACGTATCAGATGCAGAGTTCAAAACAGTGGTAATCAGGATGCTCACAGATATGGTTGAGTATGGTCGCAAAATAGAGGAAGAAGTGAAGGCTGTGCAAAGTGAAATAAGGCAAAATATGCAGGGAACCAACAGTGAAAGGAAGGAAACCAGGACTCAAATCAGTGGTTTGGAGCAGAAGGAATAAATAAACATTCAGCCAGAACAGAATGAAGAAAACAAGAATTCAAAAAAAATGAAGAAAGGCTTAGGAACCTCCAGGACAGCTTTAAACATTCCAACATCTGAATCATAGGGGTGTCAGAAGGAGAAGAGGAGAAGCGAGAAATTGAAAACTTATTTGAAAAAATAATGGAGAACTTCTCCAAACTGGCAAAGGAAATAGACTTCCAAGAAGTCTAGGAAGCTCAGAGTCCCAAAGAAGTTAGACCCAAGGAAGCACACACCAAGGGACATCATAATTAAATTATCCAAGATTAAAGATAAGGAGAGAATATTAAAAACAGCAAGAGAAAAGAAGACAGTTACCTACAAAGGAGTTCCCATAAGACTATCAGCTGATTTCTCAAAAGAAACCTTACAGACAAGAAGGGGCTGGAAAGAAGTATTCAAAGTCATGAAAGGCAAAGACCTACATCCAAGATTACTCTATCCAGCAAAGCCGTCGTTTACAATGGAAGGGCAGATAAAGTGGTTCCCAGATAAGGTAAAGCTAAAGGAGGTCATCATCACCAAGCTCTTATTATATGAAATGTTAAAGGGACTTACCTAAGAAAAAGAAGATCAAAACTATGAACAGTAAAATGACAAGAAACTCACAACTACCAACAACCGAACTTAAAAAATAAAAACAAATGGGGCAAACACCTAGAACAGGAACAGAATCACAGAAATAGAGATCATATGGAGAATTGTCAAGGGAAGAGGAGTGAGGGGCGGGGGAGAATGGGGGAAAAGGTGCAGGGAATAGGAGACATAGATGGTAGGTACAGAACAGACGTGGGAGGTTAAGAATAGTATAGGAAATGGAGGAGCCAGGGAACTTTTGTGTGTATGACCCATGGACGTGAACTGGGGTGGGGGGCGCGAGACATGCTGGGGGCGGGTTTGCAGGGTAGAGAGAAATAAAGGGGAGGGAAAACATGGGACAACTGTAATACATAACCAAGAAAATATACTTAAAATAAAAATTTTTAAAAAAGGAATTTGCTTCTTACATACCTTTGTAAAAACAGATCTAGTTAAAAGGAAATATAATAGAGGGAGCTGTCGCAGCTTCACATCCTGGAGAAAGTAATTTAACAATACTTATTTGATAAATCATGCATGTATTTCATACATTTCATCCTTAGGTACTACAGGCTTGGCCAGTAACTATCAGTGCATAACAAATTTCTGTAATAACAACTTTGCTACATAATTAATTACCCACGTATAACTGCTTCTGGTACTGTATGAAGGTCTTTGTCTATTAACCTTTTCTGAATTCCCCTTTGGAGAAAAGGACTCTGCCAGCAGTAATTTACACAAAATGCACATCTTTAATTACTTTTCTCTTAACTTCGGGTGGTGAAAAAGGGATTTGTCTCTCCTTTAACTATTTAGAATTCCTTACTCTAATGATAAAAGAAAACAATTCTTAATCAACTTTTCTGCATTTTTTTCCCGTGTGGGTGTGTTAACCTCTTCTTCAACAGGCAGCATATTTGAGATCCACCAAATGTTCAATTTTCTGCTGCCGAAGGGAATATACTAAGAAGACCCTCATTGTTTTCTATTTCTTTTTAGACACGTTAGTAAATCAGGAATAAACAGATAGACTTTTCCTGTTTTGTTGTTGTTTTTTAAATGCCAGTTTCCATGTTTTGATACATTAGAAACTGTCGCAGGGGTCCCCTTTCACTCCAGTGTCACCCCTCTTCTTCTGACATCGACATGTAATCTTGCTTCCTCCAGATTAGGCCATTGAGGTGAAGTATTGATCTGTACGTCAGTGTTGGCCTGAAAATGAAAAGGTGTAGCATCAGCTGAACCACCTTCACAAAAGAACTAGCTTTTGAGGATCTGATGATCCGTGGCCTCTGTCTGGACCCCAAGAGACGGAATCACATGCAGTGGATGATTTCTCTGTGGGGCCAGGGCCTGGGGTGCTCCGATTAATAAAATGTTCTGCTCAATCGCTGAGCTATCAGTGAGATACATGTAATAATAAAAATACATTGAGCATAACATTTTTTTATCTGATATTTCAGAAGGTACTCTGTGTTATAATTCACAAGCTACTCCATGTGATTGTGAAGGCACAGGTAGCATTTTACTCCATACGTGACTGTGTACAAGTTACTCAAGACTTCTGCTTGAGAAAAGCCTACCTAGCCTTCACTGTGTAACCAAAAGTGAATATTCTAGAAGGGGATACCCAGGTTGTTGTGTAATAAAGAAAAAAAGGTAAAAGCGTAGGTCAAACCGGTTGTGAAAATGTGTTGATAAAAGTCCCTTACACCTACGAATATGGGCAAGTGAATGGCCAAATATACAGAATATGGCTATAAGCTGATTGAGAGAATACTGAGAATTTCAAAGAAAAAGAAAAATATAACAGCATCAGATAATAGGACATGACAAAATTGTGGATTCTGGGTACTAAAAAATAATTGTTATAATGAAATATTTGGGCATTTTTTAAACAAAAGAATTACTAAGGCTTTGCTGTATACCACAGTGCAGTTAGCAGCAACGGAGAATGTGGAAGGAAATTGCATCTTTTACTTGTTACCTGAAACAGCTTCTTAAAAAAGTTGTTAAAGACAAATAAATGTATGACGAGTCGTATTCATGATAGCATGTTAATTGAAGGGAGGAGCTTCCTTTTCGATTGGTAAGAAAGTCTCTCAAGGGTCATATATTGAATATGTCTAGAAATATGTCCAAAGGAGGCTGTGGAAACAGTCTTAGAAATTCAAATATTGGCTACATTTCTGGAACCTTCATCCACCCCACTCCCAAAATACTATTCTGGTCAAGAGTAGCTCACAGCAAGAGAAGCCAACTCACAATGGACAGAGAGCTTGTGCTCTGTGATGGCTCTCCTTCAAAATACAGCTGTTATAAAGAAAGAGAGTTGCCTTGCTGTTTCTGGCGGTTGAGTTCTGAGTCTATGGAGAGAAAGAAAGGAGGAGCTGGGCTGGAGGTATAAAAGCATCACTGCCGTGCTAAGGGCCAGGGTGGAGGCTGTGGCTCACGTGCGCAGCCGCTGCAGGCTTTCAAGGTGGGTGAGGTGTCAGCTCCCAGTCTGGGCAGCCTTGGAAAACCACAGGCTTTCTGCACGGAGGTGAGCCTTTACTTCTGAGCTTCTTTCCACGTGGCTAAGAGCATAATGGTCCGTGCTCCCCACAGAAGGCCATGAAGGGAGAATAAAACAGAACAAACTGGCACAGTTCTGACTCTCAAGGGTCTTGGTCTTATTCTCCAGGCAGAAATACACCTAAAACCACCACTGCAAAACATTAAAGACACTACTTATTTTTATGTTTGCGATGGAATCTGAGAGAAGCCAGCTGCAGACATTCTTTGCCAAGTTGAATAAGTTTATACTCTCAATATCTATTTAGGAATTGGCATTATACAAGAATTAAATAGTGTGCTCTTGGGACTCCAGTGGACAACTGGGAAGACAAATAATCGGCTTATCTTCTGCACTTCAACCCCATAGTCTTATGCTCAGCCTCTATCGCCGTGGCAGGGGGTTCTGCTCCGGCTTGCGTGAGTTCTCAGTGTCGATGAGGCTGGAAGAGAACAGAGTGAAAAATGGTGGTTTAGCAGATGTTTTTCATTAAAAAATACAGGGGCTAAGTCAGTCTATGGTAAGCTTCACTTCTGATAAAACTCAATTTCCACATCCAGGATATAAATGTTATTAAGTGCTCAAAATAGGGCCAACATGACAAGAAAAAGGATCAGATGTTTAGTTTATGAAATTAAGGTGCCATTTCCTTTTACAGGGGTTTAAAAAAAAGATTGTATTTACTTTTAGAGAGAGGTGAAGGGAGGAAGAAAGGGAGGGAGAAAGTGAGAGAAAAACGGTGATGTGCACGAGATACATTAATCGGGTGCCTCTTGCACACCTCCAGCTGGGGACCTGGGCCGCAACCCAGGCATGTGCCCTGACTGGGAGTTGAACCAGAGACCTTTCAGTTGGCAGGCGGCTGCTCAATCCACTGAGCCTCACCAGTCAGGGCAGGTGTCATTTCCTTTTAAGGGAAATTCTATAAAGACTCTATTAGAAATTATCTATTTCCACAGATGCTCTGTTGTTTAAAAAAGAAAGTGGATTGTTTATGAGACACACTTTCCAAATACTGAATCCATATGTCTTTTATTCTTTTACAGAGAGTTGAAGTTCTGAGCTGAGACTTTTGTCTATTTATTATATGTCTACTATTTTGCCTATTATTATACATCTATTCTTGGCACTGGCGAGTCTGAATGAGCTTTCAGCTCTATACCAAGGCACACTGATCCTTTTTATTTGGCCATGTCATTTTTTCAGTAGAAGCATAGAAAAGGGCATATTAACTCTTGACACCGTGAAGAGTTCAACCAGAAATAACTTAGAAATGACCTAAAACTATTTTAATGCTGACAACCTCTGTTAGAAGCCTTTCCCAGTTCTTTGAAGCCTATCTACTCTACTTCATCATTTGTTCTTTTGTTCATTCATATAACAAACTATTAACTGTTTATTCCGGAAGGCAAAATGCTAGTGAGTGTCAGTGATGGTCAGTGATTGTTGGCCCCAATTCAGTGCCAACAGGAATCCAGTTCGGGGTGTGGGGAAGAAGGAAAATTAATTATTCAGTGCAAAAGAGCTCAGCTGTGATACAGCAGGGCGCTGAGGCAGTCCTAGGGCCCAGCATCCCTGGAGCCAGGCGCCTTTCCAGTTAGACATCTCTGTTCTGCTCTTCTTGCCGGTCTGCTTTGAGTTGTGCTCGTCTGCGCCCTTTGTGCTGTCTGCCCTGGCCTGCAGCGGTGTGCTCCACTCTGCTCTGGCAAGACGCTTCTGGTGTTCAGCTTAGCCAGGGAAACCCAGTCTCAGTGGAAAGGGAGAGTGCACTCCCAGAGCCAAAGGGGAGCCGGCTTATATGGACCGAAGACTCTGTTCCTGGTCCCTGATTGGTCTGCCCTCATGCAAATGAGGACTCTAAATCCTTGCAGTTCGATTGGTCCAAAAGACATCATCCTGATTGGTCAGAATAGAGCCACTCTGGTTGGTTGAAGCTGTACAGCTCAGACTGGATGGAGAAAGCCTCAGTCCTGTTGGTTGAATTAGGGCTCCAGGAACTCCTTTAGAAAGGCTGGCTCAGACGGCAGATACTGCCTGCGGGCAGGTAGGTCGGTGCAGAGGCAGGTAGTTCAGTGCAGGCTTCTCCCTGAAATGCAGTTTGTGTGAGTCTCCTGGGTAGACGTGGGTGCTGGGCTCTGGTGCAGGAGGGTTTGTTTTTGTTTCTGTTCCCGTTTTGAGCCCCGTGAGGCACAGGAGCCCTTCCTAGTAGGCATCTTCTTTCTCAGGGTCCACGCTAGTCAGGCCCACTTCAACTGCCACGTCCTTGAAAGGCTCAAAAAATCATCTAAATATTTTTGACAGTGCATTCCATGGGGACTGTTACTTAGTAGGACTTGGTGGATATTCACCAGGTTGAGTGAAGAAATCTGTATCTGGCATTGCACCTTGGAAGATCTGTGAAAAGGGAGACAGACCTTTACATTAGGCTTACATTAGGTTTATTCTTCCACCATTAACTGCAGACTTGTGCTGATATTTCTGAGCTTCAAGACTCCTAGGATTGCATTTGCTCTTCCATATGTTGAACATAAATAGAGTCCACATTAGCATTTTTAATGCTGTTTCCTTTTTGTAATAACTTGGAATCTTTTTACTGCCTTTATATCATTTCTATTCTGATTATGAAATTTCTGATAAAACTTCGTCATTGACCATATATCTCTTCATTAATTAATACAGGGTGGGGCCAAAGTAGGTTTATGGTAGAGAATACACAAAACACTGAGTTTATTCTTGTATTATTGTTTATTATTTTCCATACAAACAAGTGTAAACCTGCTTTGGCCCCACCTCGTATGTATCCTGTTAATCCAAACACTGCATTACGTGTTGCTTAACAAAACTGTGAATTCACTGGATGTATTTTGAGGATTTTGAGGCATGTGCCTTAATGTCTGGCTTGAGTGAGGTCTCAGAGACATTAATCTCAGAGCTCAGTGATCCGTTCAGCAGAGACATTGGTTATGTGGCCCCTTTGTCTCTCTCTGTTCCTCCTCCACCTCATTTCAATCTTAATGATCCTTAATTTAGGAGCTATTGTGGAAGAACATGAAGGGCTACTAAGTACACAAAATGTAAGCAGCAAAGGAGTTCTCCGTCTTGGTTCACAATGGAAGAAAATGAGGAAATGCCAGATGATGTTCATGGGAAGGCTGTTTGTTGCCTGTGTCCTTCGTGTTTGGAAATTGAAAGGAAAGAGGCTTAGTCTATGAGGTTTTTCACAATTTGGTTATTTTTTTTTTTCTCTTTTACCAGGTTTCACCAACACTCAAGCCAATGCAGCAGATCACAACCTGAAATGTGGAGTAAACATTTGTCCCAGGATGTGTTGTTTTCATTTTAATCACATACTATTTTGTGGAAAGGTCTTCAGTAATCATATCTGTATATTAAACAAACAGTTATTGACTAGGTTTTTCTAACATTTTATACTTTATGCAGCCTCTTCTCTCAAGTGTGCTATGACATTTTACTGAAAAACAGAAAAAAATATAATTATCTTATTTGTGTTATAAGTACTGAGAAGGATGTCTTTACGATTGGTGCTCACATTGGATTTTTCTCCATCTTCTGTGGTACCTACACTGAGTTGTGTGCAGTTTGTATCAAGATGGGCCCATAGGAAGAGTTTCATTGACGTACTTTACCTCCAACCGAAATGATGAAGAAAAGAACAAGGGGGAAAAGTGACTCCCCCCGAAGACACCCAAGGCTGCACGGTGCTAGTTCTGAAAGATAACTGTACGGGAATTTCAATTAGGAGAGGTGCCGTCTTAACGACTGTTTTTCCTTTGGTTGCCTCTGTCTTTTCTTTTGGAGCCTCTAATGGTGTGATTCTGTCGTCTTCCTCGAGCGCCTCTCTTCCACCCACACTTTCTGTAACTAAAAAGCCTCCTACAGAGGAAAGCAGGAATGTTGCTGTGTGGGAGAAGGTAACTGGCCCACGGGAAAGGCTAACGGTGCAGGGCCTGTGGTGCTGACGTCCACCGAAGGCTGCCTTTACCAACCCGCCCACCAGCCCACCAACCACCTGTGCTTTGCCGAGTCCTCGCGGACCCGGTCAATGTTCTTGTTTTGAATCAGTGCGGTATTCGTACATGTCCACGTGGTCTTTACGAGTCTTTCCTCTGTGTTACTGAGGACCAGTGGGCTACTTGAACAATACCTGCTCTTAAGCCAAGAGGGCTGTGGGATAATTTATCATGAATCCATAGTCACAGTGAACACACAGGGTTTGTTTGTTTGTTTTTTTAAATTTAGGCTTCTTATTTCTGGTCAGAAAAGTTTCTAAATACTGAATGCCTTTTTCTGCAGAACAATGTTCTTTATTCTGACCAGGCTCTTTCCTTGAACAAAGCGCTTTTAATTCAACTTTATCCAAATATGGTAGGTACATAAGGATGAGCAAATCGAGGATTTGAAGAGCAGCGAGTATGTTTTCACTGTCAGAAAGGAAACACTGTGGAGTCGGTGTTGTAAGGAACTTCTCATCAGAGGCATCCTCTGTACCAAACTGGCCCAGGGGGTAACCAAGCACCCTGGCTAACAAATGGTGAAAAGTCTAGGCACCCTGCAGACAGGCCAGACCTGTCCTCCACGCGGTGGCAGGTGTGGCAGAGTGTGAAGCCATTCCCCCTGCACCAGGTACAGGAGCGTGTGCATGGCTTCCAGTGATGGTTGTCATCAAAACTCACTTTCTCTTCAAATGCAGCGACTGTGTGTCATGCAAGGTGTTAGAGGGAGGAGAGAGGCTTCTGTTTTCCCCCCCAAGACGCACACTCCATATATACAATAGTCTGTTCCACTGGCTTCATGGTTGAAAGCATACTCTCCCGGGACTAGTAAAATGGACTCTTTTTAGAATTTGTGGGGTCTAGAGAATAATGTATATCTATGTCGGTGTTAAAATTGGGAAAAATGTATGTTATGGATGGTTGCTGTATTTGTCAACCTGCTTATTATTTCTAGCCTGTTACTTTACGGTAATGTGTTTCTAAGGATGTTCCCAACTTTGAATGGCAAAACCTAAGTAGATGTCTTTATATTCTTGATTAAAGAGTACCATGGATAAATAAGAAATGCAGTAAGAAATTCAATAAATATTACACATTGATGTAGATTGGTGTGATTGTCCTTTTTCTCATTTGGGAATGGTGTGACCACAAATGGGAATACTACGACTGAAATTAGTAGAATGGCCAACAATAAAAGTCAGCACACTTTTCTGCTTCTAATCAAGTTATTCCTTTTCTTAAAAAAAAAAAAAAAGGGTATTGTCCTTCACGAAAGAACAAATGAAATGTTTACCTCACCGAATTCTGCGCTTCACTCCTTATCAGAGCCAATCATTTGTCTATAAAAATTGATTATCCCAGGCTTCATGTGTTAATGTATTTTTTTGCTTTTATCTAACATTTCTTTGGAACACACACCCAAGTTAGTTTCCTGATGGTGTGTTGAGTTTGCTTGCATTTGGAACTGGCTCTAGTGCTAGCCTGCCCAGCATCTGGTTTACCCCCCTGGTAGGAGACTCTTCCCCTGGCCAAAGATTGGGTGTATGCCCAGGACATGCTGTTTTTGGTTGTCCTCTGTCCACAGTGCTTGTCCCCAGAGGTATATACAGCCCAGGATATGTCAGTCAGGTTGTTTCTCCCATGTTTAAAAACTGAAAATGAGAGAGAAGCTGATTTTCTTACTCCTTTCTGGTCACTAAGCCATAAGAATGTGACTCTGATCCGATACCTCTTCCCCCCTCCCCGCCCCCAATTCCAGCCCACACTCTACCAGCTGAGCTCCAGTGTGAGGGAAAGAAGTGGAGACGCAAAGACGTTGAGTTATACCAAGGGAGCATCCTGTAGGGTTTGGGTTCCTGGTTCTGAATGTGCCTATGACCAACTTCCCTCCAGCTGTGCTGTACAGGAGCCCACACATGTCCCTGAGCTGGGTCTTTGTCACCTATAGCCAGAGTGCATACTCAAACAACCCTTGTCATTCTCAAGTCTGAGGAAGGATCTGGTCTCTGACGTAAGAGGCAGAATAGGAGCAAAACTGCTTAAACTTGGATCCAGAAAAACAGTTAAGACCATTTATGGGTAGGTAGTAAGGTTGTGGGTAAAGACTTCCTTACAATTTCAGTATAGTATGCATAACTTTGAAAATTATTCTCATGGAAGTATAGGCAGAGATTTATTCAATGGATTGGTTTCTTTACACTAACCTCCCTTAAAGGGTATGGTCTTGAGTTTCTTAAGTTTATTTTCAGATTCTCCATCTTTAAAATGGGGAGAATATACTGTTTTCTACAATGGTTTTCTAAGATGTAATTAATACATCTGGTTACAAAATACTGGTAGATCTATTTAAAATGCTGTACAATAATATTACCTTGGGCCAGAATTGTCCATTGTTTCTGTCTTTTTATTTTTCAATGTCCATATTGCCTTCCCACCTAAGACCATACTGAGTATCAAAGTGAGTTTAAGCATAAATATCAGTAAATGCGATGTATTCTGAATGCACGTCTGTGTGATTTACACCTGAAGTCTCCTGGTTCCATAAATGTCATTTGTGTCTGAGTAAAATCACCTGAAGACCCCACCCTCTGTGGGCCACACAGCAAGTCCTATGAGAGTGATAACCACTGATCCAGGTAACTAGCTGATAAGACAATTTCCTCAAAGTCACAGTTGAACATAACAGATATTTGGTCGTGGAGGTTAAATGTGTTTGATTATCATGGTCATTATCACTTTTAATGGGTGCCACTCTGGATGGTTCACTTGGAAATGACCTCTGGCAACTCTGCTGACTCTTGTTGATGACCAGCAGTGGGTCTGTGGGAAACACTCTATTTCCATGGACCCACTGTAGTCACTTTTGTACACTTGGCTCATTTGTAGGGATTCCATTTCTTACCCTTTAAAATTTTCAAGAGGAAATTTGGGGGGGAATGGAAGATAGCATCTTCATTTCACCTTCTTGTAAAGTGCCCAATAGCTCTCTAAATCTTCTCAAATTCTTTCATGTTTTTAGAAAAGTATTATTTTTCTAAACTCTTTTTGTTATTGTTGACACTATTAAACATGTGGCCCTTCCCCCTCTTTGCCCCCCTCCGCCCAGCCCCTGGCCCCACCCCCTAGCCTTCTCCACATTCCTTTAGTCTTCAGTGTTTGAAGAGTTGTCTAACTCATTCTCAACCAGGTGTTTCAAAATGTATGCATAGTGGCCTCACTTTAGAGCATAGGGTACAGTGTGTGTGTGTCTTAGCATCTTGTATTAGTATAACAACTCATAATTTGCTCGTGGTAGGTTTCCAAATAGTTTATTGAATCAATCTACTAGTTGAAACATGAAGTGATACTGGCCAGGTGTGAGGATTCCCCTCAGCTACATAACTAGGTAAAACCTCCAAGGAGGAGCCAGGGAAGCAAAGAGAAGGAAACAAGAGCTGAATCCTGGAGGCTGCAACGAAGGAATAAGGAGAGCTGCACGAATTGTTGAGCATTTTATGACTTACAAAACCTCTAAAATACACTAGCTCTCTTACTCCATTCTCACAATAACCTGCCGGGGAGACATCATCACCATTAAAATTAACTTCATTAGTCTGAGAGAAGTAATGTCCATCAATTCTTTAATCAAATAAGCCTTTCAGGGATAATGTTGGATTTTGCCAGGGTACTTGAGAGGTGAATTATATCCCCTGAATAGGACTGGATTTGTTGCTCTCTGGGAAGCAGTAATACAGAGTCCGAAACCTCTAAAACCCAATGGGAGAAGTCTTGAAGTTTGGTTCCTGTTCACATAGCTCTTGTGTACAACCTAACTGATGAGGAAGTGGGTAGTTGTCAAAAACAAAAGGCTAGTGGTGTCCACCAGGCAAAATGTCCCTGAGGAAGACTTGCAACTCCGGGGTGTGCTCAGGTGAAAGGCCTGGTGTCGTGGACCATAGGGAGGCATGCTCAACTGGCCCGCAGGAGAGGCTGATGGACCATAGGGAGGCATGCTCAACTGGCCCGCAGGAGAGGCTGATGGACCATAGGGAGGCATGCTCAACTGGCCCGCAGGAGAGGCTGATGGACACTGCCGTCTTTGTGACAGACACCTTTATGAAATTTGGTTTCAGTGGCGTAGACCTATGTTCAGAGTCAGAGTTGGGGCTCAGGCTCATTCAGTTGACCCTGGAGATGAGGCTGATATTGGCAACCTACAAATGCATGTTATCGGTGACACGGAGAGAGTACCATTCAGTGAGGTCTAGTGCCATCCCTTCCCCAGAGAACACAGGGTCCAAGGAAAGAAGAAAACTGGCGACAGCGTTGGAGCCTGTGGGGGTGGGGTAGAGGTGGGAAGGTATTACGGCCAACAATACACATAACAGATGAGAACATTTATATTTCTTTGAATATAAGATAATCTTTTATTATAGTGACATTTAAAATGAGATTTATCCTCTTAATAAGTATAGCATTGTTACCTATAGGTGCAATCTAATACAGAAGATTTCTAGAACCTCCTCTTGTACAATTGGAACTCTTTTCCCATGAACAACAACTCCTCATTTCCCCCTCACCCCAGCCCCTAGCAACCACCATTCTACTCTCTGTTTCTCTGAGCTTGACTGTTTCAAATATCGCATATGAATGGAGCCATGTCAGATGTGTCCTTCTGTGACTGGCTCATTTCACTTAGGAGAATGTCCTCTAGGTCCATCCTTGTTGGCACATATGGCAGGATTTCCTTCTTTTTTATGGCTGAAAGTATGCTTGTATGTATGTACCAAGTTTTCTTTACCCATTTACCCATCGGTAGACATTCAGGTCGTGTCTATAGCTTGGCTACTGTGAATTATGATGCAGTGAACATGGGAGTGCAGGTATCTCTTTGAGATCCTGATTTGATTCCTTTTGGATGGGATTGCTGGATCAGATGGTCATTCTATTTTTATTTTTTGAGGCACCTTCATAGGGCTTTCAGTAGCATCTGCACCATTCTGCATTCCTGCCAACAGTGTACAAGGGTTCCGATTTAGTCACATCCTTGTCAACACTTATTTTTTTATAATGCCTATCCCAATAGGTATGAAGTGATACTTCCTTGTGTATTTGATTTGCATTTGATTAATAGTTAGTGATGATGAACATCCTTTTATATACTTGTTGGCCATTTGTATATTTTCCTTGGGGAGCTGTTCATTTCAAGCTCTTTGCCCATTTTTAAATTGGGTCATTTAAAGTTTGGCTAGTGAGCTGTACAAGTTCCATGTATATATAAATTTTCTTTTGTTGTCTGTGCTTCTGGTATCATATCCAAAAATTTATCAGGAAAACCAATGTTCAGAAGGTTTTCTCCTTGTTCTAGGAGTTTTATAAGTTTTGGTTGTACATTTAAGTCATTAATCCAGTTCAGTTATTTTTATGTACGGTGTAAAATAAGGGTCTAATTTCATTCCTTTGCACACAGATATCCAGTTGTCCCATCTTTCGTTGAAGTGACTTTTCTTTCTCCATTGTGTATCCTTGGCAGCCTTGTTGGGGATCAGTTGACCGTATGAGTGTGGGTTTATTGCTGGGCTCTCTATTCTATTTCATTGTTCTGCATGTCTAAAGACACCATCAATTTTAAAACGAACTTTTTTTTGCTTTTTTAGCACTTACAAATTTTATTGTGCACATATCAAGATTTTTTAGACTCCCTCAATCTCAGGTGAGTTTGCATAGTAGTCCCTTTTTGTATTTAAAACAAAACATCAATAATGTTTTATTCAGCTGACAGACATCAAAAGCAAGTAATAGCCCCAGGAAAGCTACCTGCCTTAAAAGTTGGCGCATTTACAATCCAGGGGCTTCCCACTGACAAGAGGATTTAAGTTGTCCAAGGGGCAGGTTGGGGTGGGGGGCAGGGCAGATGCGGGGGAGGGAACGGAGGTGCCTGCTTCCTTCAGAGCCGCAGGGCTCCAGGAGTGGAAAGAGCGAAGTCCAGTGCCCATGGGCTGCACCACACCTTCAGGGCTGAGAAAATGTGGGAAACTGTCCACCTTAGAATCAGTGAATGGGAGGAGGTCCTTTAAGGCCTTTCTGAATTAGCATAATGTCTGAATGAAGA